TAGAGGGCTTAATAATGCTGAACATCATGCATAAGAATCTAGCAAAGGCTTAAAAACCTTTACTTGAATCCTTTTGTTGCATAAATCTATATTTATTTTTCAACAAAGTGCCTCGCGGATTGCATAAAAAACCCGTGTCAATCTCCAACACTATGCACTCACTCTTCAGTAGGTAATAAAGCAAAAATCTAGCAACCCCAGGCCAATGCAATTAGAGTTTTTTTTAAGCAAAATTATTCAAAGAGAGAAAGAAAACACAGCCCTTCCAAATGGCACAGCTGTCGATGATCAGAATATAGTGAGCAAATGTTTACTTATAATATTCTGAGTTGATGTGTTCTCTGAAATATTAATTTTGAATATCAGGACTGGACACATATAGACATATTGGAGCTTGTGGAAAGGATACTTCGCAAAACCAAGGAGACAGGATGCCACTAAAAAAATGTTGCATTTGCAAAGAACATGAGCTGCTCGACTGGAGGCACAGAGTTCACAACACTTTCTGAAGAGGTCAAAGCCACATGACTCAGTCTGTGGGTAAAGTAAAGTTATGAGCTTGAGCACAGATAGTCACAGTTAACTTGCCTGCATCAGTAGCGTTTACCCCACTTTTTTTTCTGAACTGCTTCTTATCAAAGTGCATGAGCAGAAAACCCACTGGAAGACCTCATCATTACAAGTGGAGAGCTCCCAAAAGGAGAATTTGGGAGCTGCCAGTATCTCCAGAGAACTAGATTCAGCCAACCATAAAAGATCCTGGAGGAAATCCCAATGCAAACAGTTTGTGTGGAAATGGTCCTTGACTGCAGATAGTGAATAATTCTTTTCCTTGAATTTCACTGTTACTTGCCAAAGTACTTTTAATGTATTATTTTGCCAAATTCTATTTTTTTTTCCAGTTAGGTGTGTCTGGGTGTCTATATATGAGCTAAGATTTCATGTCAGGTTGTTGCTTCCATTTGCACAGCTTAAACCTTTCGGTAATAATCCTCACACATTTGCTTGCTCAAATTCTATTTGCAAAAAACATCTAGATATTTATTTGTTACTTAAGGAGCTTGGCTCACTTATTTCTGCCACTGAGCCAGATATACAACTGATGTCTCCATTTTAAAATTTAAACCTTGTTGTGACTGATGGAGGAGTGGGACAAGAAAAGGCATCAGTTCACCCCTCCCAATTGGATCGAAACAAACATTACTGTGTAGAAGTACAATATTGCAAACTCCAGTCCAAATACATTTATAATCAAACCTTGCTTATGAAACTTTGGGGAAGACTGGAGCAGTAGCTATTGCATTGAAATGCTGTGGAGCCTTGTCCCTGTTGAGTGCATTTCCCCAATACATGTTCTCTGCATCAAAGCTGTTCTGCCATTATTACACTGCTGGGATGTTGTAATAAAGCAGAGAACTCCATAAAATATTAATCATAACAAACATAACCCAAAAATTAGATAAATCTAAAACGATCAAAGCGGGAGCCCATAAAACACAAGTGACGCACAACTTAAGTACAAAACTGATGCTCATCTGCATATGCAAATCCATGCTAATTGACTTCATTTGGAACGCAAAATGTCCCTTAAAATGCCCAGCAATATTCTTGACAAAATGAATAACAGAATCTTCTTCAATCCCTTAACTCTTTCGCTGGCAGAAGTTTGAGGAACTGCACTGTATGGAATAGAAATTATTTCAGTATCACCCGAGACTTGAACCTTCCTCTCCTCAGTCAGCTAGCTTGTGTCTAATGTGTTGTACATGTTATCTGCACACACCCATCCTAGGAAATAGTTTCTCTCCATCTGCCCTGTCAAATCCTTTCACCATCTTACACACTTCAATCAGATTGCTGCTTAATCACCAACAATCAAGGACAAACACGCCTCTTCCTCCTCTGGTCAATTTTCCACTCAAACCTATTATTTTCTACATCCACATTGATCTCTCGCTTTTCCTTTAAGATGCTTCTCAATAATTTGGCTTATTGACCAGGATTTTGGTCACCTGTCTTAATGTCTCCTCTGTGCCTTACTGTCAAGAACACCCTGTGGTCCATCTTGGGGACAGTGTGCTCCGTGAAAGGCACTCTATAAACTTAAGTTATTGTTGAAAATCTCTGCCTTAGCTCTTTAAACAGCTTGGTCTGGCACTGAGACAAATGAAGTCCATTCCCTCTGCAAAGTGTCAAGACAGTAGAATTCAGGTCTCAGTTTGGGATTCGGTACAGTTTGCCAGTTTGGCTGCCTGGTGTTGGCTCCTCACTGTCAGTTTGCTCTTCAGTGTTGATTAAAACCAGAAACGGTTTCTGGTCACGGATAGACTTGGTGCTTGAATTCCAATGGTTCGCTTTGCCAGTTGAAGGAAGATATATACACAGGCTGTCTGCATTAAAACACTGTGCTGAGTGTGAAGAGAGAGGAGTGAATTGCTGAATTTGAAAGTAAGCGTTTTATTTAGGGTGGGGGGTTGGTGTGAAAATTTGATGGAGGTTTTCCAAATCATGAAGGGTTTTAAAAGAGTGAGTGATGAGAAGCTGTTCCCAGTGACTGAAGGGGTCAGTGACCAGAGGGATACAGATTGAAGATGCTTGGGATAAGAACCCAGGGTGACAGGAGGAAACAATATTATACATAGTGAGCTGGAAGGTGTTGCCTAGAAGATTCAACAATAACTTCCAAAATAGAACTGGAAAAATATCTGAAATGAAAACATTAGCAAAGCAGTGGGGAAGGGAGAAGGGAATTGGGACTAATCTGAGAGCTTTTTTAAAGGGCCAGTACAGCTATGAAGGGATGAATGGCATAATTCCGTATCACTGCACAAAGCCAGTTCTTTGCAAGTCAGACAAAACAAAAATCCAAGCTCGGGGGGTGGTAGGAGGGAGATCAGTTTGAGGGGGAAGTCAGGGTTGTTGTGAGGGATCAGGGTTAGGAGTTGGAAACCAGAGAGGGAGCACAATCAGAGGCTGTTGAAATCAGGGGAGGAGTGAATTCAGGGCTGACAGTTTACTACACATGATTTTTGCGTTTGCAAAAGACCAGTTTCACACCATCTTACTTTCATTAAAAGAAAGAAATGGAATTGAAAATCAGGTCTGTCCTATTTCACAGCAGATATTTTGTAGAGGACAGGGCTGTGGTGGGGTGATTCTGAAAGGAAAATAGTTGTTCCCTTCCAAGTATTACTTTAAAGTAGACAGCCAGTGCAGCAGATTTTCCTCTTGAAATCACTCCAATATCTCATCATCTACACTACACAACTGCAAGGTACAAAGATGACTTATTGAAAAAGGCATACCAGGGCTCTATGTTTATTATGTAAGTCTAATCTCATGCCAAAATTAGCAAATGGAAGGAGACAGAGAATGGGGCTTGATTTTCCAGCGAGCTCTGAGAAAAGGTCATTGACCTGAAACATCGGACTGGATTTGTTGGGGCGTATTACTCGGAGGTGATGTCCATACAATCCACTTCACAAATGACGCCTGACCTAAGTACAACAGCAATTTGTATTTTAATTTCCGTCTGGTATATATTGAATATGTTCAAACCAAATTACTGTCAGCCCCTCTCTTAAGGCAGGCATGAGCCTACTTAAATAAATCACACAGCTGCTGGAAATCTGAAACAAACACAGAGAATGTTGGAGAAATTCAGCAGCTCTGGCAGCATCTGTGGAGAGAGAAGAAACAGAGTTAATGTTTCAGAACTGAAGAAGAACTGTACCACACTCAAAACGCTACCTCTGTTTCTCTTTCCACAGATGCTGCCAGGCCTGCTGAGTTCCTCCAACACTCTGTGTGTTTGTTTCAGATTCACTTACTTAATCTGATGATCAAAAACCCTTCTTTCACATCTGAGAGGTTTGTGTGGCTTTGTGCTGAACAGATCAGAGTAATCACAGGCCGTTGGCAGAGATACTAGACTGGACACCATCCTGTTTTTTGGACATTTCAATCTGGATTGGATGGTGTGAAATTGGTTGCAGGAGTCTCCAATGAAATGGTCAACAGCATAAAAACCGAAAGAACTGCGGATGCTGTAAATCAGGAACAAAAACAGAAGTTACTGGAAGCTCAGCAGGTCTGGCAGCTTCTGTGAAGAAAGATATCAGAGCTAATGTCTCGGGTCCAATGACCTTTCCTCAGAACTGGGTTAACTCTCATATTTTTCTTCACAGATGCTGCTGGACCTGCTGACCTTCCAGCATCTGAGATAGCAAGGTGTAGAGCTGGATGAACACTGCAGGCCAAGCAGCATCAGAGGAGCAGGAAGGCTGACGTTTCGGGCCTAGACCCTTCTTCAGAAATGGGGGAGGGGAAGGGGGTCCTGAAATAAATAGGGAGAGAGGGGGAGGCGGATAGAAGATTCTCCAGCATCTGCAGTTCCTACTATCTCTGAACTTCCAGCATCTTCGGTTTTTGGTCAACAGCATATTGTGTTGACAGTCCAGACTATCATGGAAGCCAATCTCCCATCCCATTCATGGGCTCCACCTACACTTCTTGTTGCCATGGAAAGACAGCCAACATCATCAAAGACCCCTCCCCACCTGGGTTATACTCTCTTCCAATCTCTTTCATCAGGAAGATACAGATGTTTAAACACACGTACCAACAGGTTCAAGAACAGCTTCTACCCCAGTGTTATTAGACTTCTGAAGTGACCTCTCTAATTTCAAACCTAATGTTGATCTTGTTTTACTGCACCTCCTGTGCAACTGTAACCCTATAATGCCTCACTCTGTCTAAGCACCCTATGATCTGTATGTCCTTGTTTGCTATGATCTGCCTGTACTGCGTGCAAAACAAAACTATTCACTGTACTTGTGACAACAACAAATCAAATCAATAAATTAAACCAGTTCCAATTAGATACAGCAGCTTCTGATTTGGTACTGGATACAAAATGCTTCCCAACTGGAATCTCAGTGAAAGGTGATCTCTGGGAATTTGAAAGTTTGCCTTTGACGATAGACTCAGCCACAACGTACCTGGGAGCTCTTCGTAAATCTCATCATCCGGATCTTGGCCAATGTTAGTTGATGGACCTCGAGGCGCTCCTAAATCGACAGGCCCTGGGTCCACATCATCGTATGTCTCTTCCTGCATCACTCGCACTCTGTTCCTCTCGTCTTCCTCCTCGTCTTCCTCTTCCTCCACTGGTATAAAGTTGGAATTCATGTCTACAAAGAGAAACCTTCATATCACAAATTAAGCAAAACATGTAAATCCTTACATCGCATAGTTCTTCAAAACACTGAAAGATTTTACAAGGCATGTACAGAGAAACTGAGAATGAAGGAAACACGATCTTAAAATGTGAGTTCATGAGCTACACAAGAGCAAAATCAGGAAGTAAAGCTCTTTGCTACACAAAAGCTAACATAGATTTGGAATTCTCTCCAAACGTAAGGAGCATCTTAAAAGAAGAGAGAGGGAAAGAGAGAGAGAGAGTAGAGAGGCAGAAAGGATTAAGGAGAGAATTCCAGAGTTAGGACCCAGACAGCACGATCAGCAGTGATACAGCAATTTAAATCAGGGTGTTTAAACTGGAGCAGCAAAGAAATCTGGGAGAGTTATTGGGCTGGTGAAAGTTACAGAGATTGGGAGGGGTAAGTAATGGAGGAATTTAAAAACAAGCACAAGAGATTTAAAACTAAGATGGCGCTGGCCTGGGTGCTGTTGTGTCACTATTTGAGCAGGGGGGCAAAATGGGACTTAGGGTGAGTTAGGATACAGGAAGCAGAGTTTTAGATGAACACTTATTTACAGAGGGTGGGAGGTAGCCAGAAGTGCATTAGAATAGTCAAGCCTAGATGTAACAAAACCTCTCTGTCAGGGATATAGCAGGATGTTCCCGATAATTAAGGAAACTGTAGAAGCACAGCATCTGTTTTATGTTCTCTTGCTGTCTGGACAGAAACATTCCCTGAGCAGCTTGTCATGAGCCTATAGATTGGCTCTTTGCTCAGTCACACTTTCCAATTTGTATCTAAAAGAAGCAATGAGTGGTGCCTGTGGTAAAGCTGAAAAATATTTACAGTCAAGCTCAGGTTAATAACACTCCAAATGATTTTACAGCAATAAAGCACGAGCAAAAAATCAATATGTTTCTCAACAACATTGACACGAACCACCCCATAAATTTAATTTGTATCAACCTGAGCTGACTACTTTGGAGTCAGCTCTGGGTTTATTTCCTTGACTTTACATGGATTCCGTTTTATTTAATTCAACAAATCGATATCAGAATATGTTGTCTGATCAAAGTATTTATGGACAAAGGGAGTGAGCATTTACAGTGCTCCTTTTTGTTCTCTCTCAGGTAGTTATTACACCTGGTAATCATTACAAAGGCAAACTTAATGGCCAAGCGTTGTTTTATCATGGCAATGAGAATCACACTCTCATTAAACTGCAGATGTCAGCAACTAACTGATCAGATTAAAGAAACAAGTTCAACACTGTTTCCCAAGGCACATGTGGACATGGATGGACTGGGAGTAAGTAATGATTTGAGGCTGGAACCATTTTAATGAAAGCCTGAGTTTAGTTCCTGATCCACTGCTGCTGAGTGTGATCAATATTACCATGTGCATTACTGACCTCAAACTCTGTAACCCTCTGAGATCTCTGTATGCCTCCAACTCTGGCCTCTTGCACATCCCTGATTTTACTGCATAACGTTTGGTGACCAGCCCGAGGCTGCCTGGCTTTTAAGCTCTGGAATTTATTCCCTAAACTGCTGTGTCTCCTTTCCTCAAGAACCACTTCCTCAAAGCTATCTCTCCATTCAAGCTTCTAGGTTCCTGTCCCTTGTCTGCTTAAGTGACTTGACTGTGTCGAGCTCTCCCTGATAATGCTCCAGTGAAGCACTTTGGGATGATGTTAAAAATGCTGCATTAATGCAAGTTGTGGTTGATTTATTTTGCAGATTACTTAAATAAAAACAAGAGGAAGACATTTCACTGAATAAGCAGATCCTGAACTGCAGCTTCAATCACAGTGAGCACTGCCCTGCTGTCTTCTACAGAACCTACCAGCAGCAAGAATCCCACTGAATTTGAATTTTTCAGCATAGAAAGAGACCATTTGGCCCATCTGGGCCAGCTCTTTGGAAGAGTTTTCCAATTAAGCCTATTTCCTGCCCACTTACTAAACTTTTCACCTCAAATATTTATTCAATTCTCTTTTGAAAGTTAACAATTGGGTCGCTTCTACCAGCACATCCCAGATCGTAGTAACTCACTATGTGAAAGAAATTCTCTTCGTCTCCCCCCCCGGTGTTTTGGTAACTATCTCAAACTTGTATCCTCTGCTTACTTAGCCTTGTACCAGTGGAAATAGTTCCCCTCTTTTTCACTCAATGAAAACCATTCATAATTTTGAATAATGCTTTTGCACATCACTTTCACCTTCTCAATGGCAGGCTTGAGAAACACTCCTGATGATTAAACTTTCTCAATCCTGGCACCATTCTGTCAAGTTTTCTTTAATATTCATTCATGGGGGTAGCACTGCCTATTTATTGCCCATCCCTAATTGCCCAGAGGGCAGTTAAGAGTCAACCACATTGCCATGAGTTTGGAGTCACATGTAGGCCAGACCAGGTAAGGATGACAGTTTCCTTCCCTAAAGTACGCTTGTGAACCAGATGAGTTTTTCCAACAATTGACAATGGATTTATGGTTATTGGACTCTTAATTCCAGATTTTTACTGAAGAAAATTCCAGACTTTCCATATGTTTATTGAATTCCACCATCTGCCATGGTGGGATTCGATCCCAGGTCCCCAGAACATTAATGGGGTCTCTGGATCAATAGTCATGTGATAATACCACTAGGCCACTGCCTCCCCCCACTCTGCACCGTATCCTCACATCTTCACCACAATACTCCAGTTGGGACCCAAACAGAAGAAGGGTCTAGGCCCAAAATGTCAGCCTTCCTGCTCCTCTGATGCTGCTTGGCCTGCTGTGTTCATCCAGCTCTACACCTTGTTATCTCGTCTGCTATAAAGTCCTACTTTTATACTGTATGCCTGTATTTATAATGCCAAGCTTCCTGTACACTTTACTGGATGGGGCCTAATGGCTGTGGAATGATCATTGCCAAGATTAAATGGCTTCAAAGGAAAACACTGGGAAAAGAAAATGAACTACAGGCGTGATGGGGCGAGATACTTCCACTAGAAATTGTTTTTAATTAGCGACAAACTTCAAACTTTTATTACTTTAATCAGTGGAACGAGATGTTTAATTAGAAAGTGAATTTTTCAGCACACACTAATATTCAGCTCACTGGGGTTTTGAAGCAGAGATGGACTGCGCTCATTTAAAATTTAATTGAAAAGTAAATGTGATTTAAAATAAAAGTCAAATTACAATTTTTTAAAGAACCAGAGAATGCAGGTACAAGTGATTTAAAACATATTTAAGTGCTGTAGACAGATGGAAGTAATGCTGTTTATAACAACAAGCTGGTTCTCCATGGCACTGCACTGGGGCTGAAGCCTTTTATATTTGTCAGCTAGATAGGCACATCCTGAGGTCCAGAGACTGTGAGCAGTTGCTTTGCAATGTTTGTTTTTAGGATTGATGCCTGTATGGCTCCCCACTTAGCGGAAGAGAGCTGATAATTAATGTACTTCATTTCAGCTGTATTCCACTCCAAATTAATCTCTCCATGTTACAAAGGAGATGACATGAGTAAACATGTTATGCTGTAACCATGTTATAGTACAGATGCTGTAGCACCACCCTTGGCTGGAGGGTGAAATCACAGCGTGACTGGTTTACATAGAACATTTTGATGGTTGATGGAGACGGGAGATTTAAGAACGAAAAGCATGTTAATATAAAAACAGACATTAGTTAGAATGGGAAAACTTACTCCCACTTGGAGCGACTGAGTTAATCAAATAGATGCATTTAAGGAGAAGTGAGAAAGTACATGAGAAGTACATGAGAAAGAAGGGAATAGTTGGATATGTTGATAGAATGAGATCAAAAAGGAGGCTTAAGGGGAACATAAACATTGGAGTGGGCCAGGTCCTATTTTTGTGCTTTAACATATAACTTTAAAAAAAACAACAAAATTCTGTCAGCATAGTCCAATCTATTTCTTTCCCATCTCGGTGCACCTCTTGATCCTTCCCTTGGCATAAACATCCCATGACCTAGGAACCAAGTGACAGAGTTGAGTTTGTTTTCTAAATGATTTCAGTTCTGATTTGCTGCTGTTTGGGGAATGAAGCTGCACTCCATAGCTAAGGGACTCTTGTCCTGTTCCTTGGGCATTGAATGTTGGGTGGGAACATCGCCAGAGGGAAAATTGCAGTGTTGAACTCATAGATTTCAAGGGGCCTTCCCAATCCAGCAGATAAATGCTAATTTCCACATCTCTGTACACATGGGACAACAATAAACAAAGATTTGATTTCTAAAATAGTGCCTTTCACATCCTCAGGGTGTGATAAAATGCTTCACAGTTAACAAAGATCCTGTCGTAATAAAGGAGAAATGACGGCCAGTTAACACAAAGCAAGTTCCCACCGATTGCAATGTGAAAATGACCGAATCATCTGGGCCTTAGTGATTGACGGATGAATATTATTCAGGAGAGCTGGGAGAACTCCCTTGCTCTTCTGTGAAATATCACTTTGGGATAGACAATGTCCTCCAGAGGATACACTTGGCCTTGGCATGATGTCTCACCTGAAAGACAGCCCCTCCAATCATACAGCACTTCCTCAATATTGGCTCTGAGGGATTGTCCACATGGTTTTCTATTGGCTCAGTTCTCTAGAATGGGGCTTGTTACTTCTGCTCCTATGTCTTAACACCGTAAGATATTGGAGCAGAATTAGGCCATTCATCCCATTGAGTCTGCTGCACTATTTAATCATGACTGAAATGTTTCTCAAACCCATTCTCCTGCCTTCTCTCCATAACCCTTCATCCCATTACTAGTCAAGAATTATCTATCACTATTTAAAAACACTCAATGACTTGGCCTCCACAGCCTTCTGTGGCAATCAACTCCACAGATTCACCACCCTCTGGCTGAAGAAATTCCTTTTCATGTCAGTTCTAAAGGGTCGTCCCTTCACTCTGAAACTGTGCCCTCAGCACCTAGTCTCTCCTACTAGTAGAAACATTTTCTCCACATCCACTCTAACCAGGCCTCTCAGTATTCTGTAAGTTTCAATGAGATTCCCCCTCATCCTTCTAAACTCCATCAAGTACAGACCCAGAGTTCTCAACTGCTCCTCATATGACAAGCCCTTCATCCCTGGGGTCATTCTTGTGAACCTCTTCTGGACACCCTCCAACACCAGCACATCCTTCCTTAGGTCATGGACCCAAAACTGCTCACTAGGTTCCAAATGCGGTCTGACCAGAGCCTTATACAGCCTCAGCAGTGCATTTCTGCTCTTGTCTTCCAGCCCTCTTGAAATGAATGCCAACATTGCATATGGCTTCCTAACTGCTAAATGAACCTACATGTTAACCTTAAGAGATTCACGAACTAGGATTCCTAAGTCCCTTTGTGCTTCAGATTTGCAAAGCCTTTCTCCATTTAGAAAACAATCTATGCCTCAATTTTTCCTACAAAAGTCCATAACCTCACATTTTTCCACAATGTATTCCACCTGCCACTTCTTTGCCCACTCTCCCAGTCCTTCCGCAGCCTCTCCGTCTCCTCCACTAGCTGTCCCCCACTAATCTTTGTGTCACCTGCAAACTTGGCAACAATGCCCTCAGTTCCTTCATCCAGATCGCTAATGTATGACATGAATAACTGTGCTCCCAACACTGACCCCTGTGGGACTCCATTAGTCACCTACTTCCATCCTGAAAAAGACCCCTTTATCCCCACTCTCTGCCTTCTGCCAGTCAGCAATCCTCCGTCCATGCCAGTATCTTGCCCCTCACACAAAAGGCTCTCATCTTATTTAGATGCCTCACATGTGGTGCCTTGTCAAAGGCCTTCTGGAAGCCAATAGGGAATCAAGGCTTACGGGGAAAAGGCAGGAAGGTGAAGCTGAGGATGATCAGATCAGTCATAATCTCATTAAATGGCACAGCAGTAATAAATGCTGGGCCTAGCCAGTGATGTTCTATGCCCCACAAACAAATAAGAAACGCAGCCAGGACAGCACTGCAGCACTGCACCCAGAGGTAACAAAGCCACAGATGATGGTTCCAGCAGCAGACGAACTGATTCCCTTGATATGAAAGACCTGATTACTCAAGAGATGTGCAGGCTCCCGATTTGCTAAAGGCTGGATGCGCTTCATTGTAGCATGATGGAGGAGACTTGTCATTGGAGCTACCTTCATTCTAGGTGCTAAATAAATGCCATACCTTTCCTCAACACATAGCTGCTTGTTTGATCCCTTTAAGTGTAACTTTGTCTGCCACACTGAGTACACAGAGCTCCCACAAACATGGGTGTGTACCTGAGTTGGCATGGAAGGATCCCGCAGCAGGATAGATGAGTGCTCACTCTCCATTTGCCCAGGGGAGGTCAGTATGAAGCTGACAGCTGGTGCCTGCCTACAGAATTCCACACCGATAAACACATAGTTACCTTTCAGCACAAAGGAGATGTGATCCACCCACTCCTTGGCTTCGCGATGGCTTGATGCAGCAAACTGGAAACAGAAGGAATCTTTTATCAGATTGGAGCAGTTCACAGCATTTCACCTGTCTTCATATTTCTGTTTCCATTTCACCAGTAAACTTCCATAACTGGAAGAATAAGAATGAAAACTCTGGGCAGATACATTCATGGGCAATAGACCTATCGCAATGTCCAAAGAAAGAAACAACAGAGAGTGACCTGTATTTCTGTACAGCCTTGGATAGCCCAAAGTATTTCACAGTCAATTACATGTAAAACAATTTCTCACGTATGGTCGCTGCTCTAATGCAGGAAGTATAGCTATCAATTTGTACACTGTAAGATCTCACAAACAGCAATGAGATTATCTGCCTTCTTTAAAACTGTCCGTTGAAGGTCAAATATTGACAGGACTGCCACAAGAAAAGCCTTGCTCTTCTTCACATTAGTTCCACAGAATCTTTTAAGCAGAGATGGCAAATCCACCAACACTCCAGCTTCCCACATCCTCACCTCACAACGCACCCGCTGTCCCACAGTCCTCAACCCCCTCCCACCACTATCCCACTCATTCATCATTCTGGCCTCTGTCTTAGCTCCATCTCCCCATCTCAGTGCTGTAATCCACAATGTCCTCACCTAATACAAACTTCACCAGCCTCTTGAACAATCCATCTCTGTCCTTTAGCACTATAGCCTTTGGCAGGGAAGTGAGCTGTAGCTCTCTACTCCCTTTCCTGCAAGGAACACAACAGGAAATAGTAGCAGGAGGAGGCCATTCAGCCCCTCATGGCTGATGCACCACTCAATAAGATCACTGTCGAGCTTCCACATAACTCCAAATATCCTGGGGTTGCTCAGCTCTGAATATTCTCAATGACAGAGAATTCACAGATCTCTGGAGTAGAGAATTGCAAAGACTCAGAACCATCCGAGTGAAGAAATTGCTCCTCTTCTCAATCTTAAATGGTTGACCCCACACCCTGTAAAGGTGTCTCCTCATTCTGGATGCTCCAGCCTGTGAGAATGATTCCTCAGCAGTTACCCTGGTAACCCTTGCTGTATGTTTCTATCAGACCATTCTACCAGATTCCAGACAACACAGGCCCATTCCAGTCATTGTCACTTTTTTTTTGTTATTTGCTCCCCTGCAGTACCCAGCAGTAGTGTTTACCTTCCCCAGCACCCTTGTTGCACATGTGCAGGTGTGAGACACAGTAAGAAACACTAGGTGTGCAAATAACTTTATTAACATCCCACTGCCAGGAAAAACACCCACATGACCAAAGAATCAGTATCAAGCGCAGCCCTTTTAGGAGCAATGCTTATGTGAAAGAAAAAATGAGGGGGAGGGTAGGGATCAAACCAAAATAGAATTGGAGGGGGAAGATAAGGCATTCCACACCCCACGGTGCCCACCTCTCCCGAAGGGCATCGAGAGCGCCAGTGCACGTCACGTGTTCCTTCTCCAGGGACACCCGGGCGCAGACATAGTCATGAAAGATGGCAGGCAGTCAGCCATAATGACCCCTTCCATGGCCCATTGCCTGGACTTGTTAATGGCCAGGCCCAGGAGGAGATCCTCCAATCTGCCCGCTCCCCTTCGCACCGGGTGCCCAAAGATCAGGAGTGTGGGGCTGAAGTGCAACCAAAAACACAGAAGGAAAATCTTGCTTTATTAGCGAATTCTCTCTTTTGAAGAATCCCTTAAAGTTAAGAAGATCCACACTTTATTATGGAGACCTACACTGAACATAGCCTGGCATAAGCAAAGAGGAAATGCTTCCTGACCTTATCCCAGAATGACTGAGTCCAATTTTAATACAGGGTCTCCCTTTTCCTTCCTCCATCTACCAGAGGAAATAGTTGCTCTGTATCCATGCTACAAATCCCTTTATTACTTTACAGGATTTGATTAGATCAGTCAGCCTCCCAAACTCGACAGAACTCAGTGGAAATTTGTGCAATGTACTTGACCCTTCAAGTTGTGGTTTCGTTAAAAGGATAAAATCTTGGGAAGCGGGGGGGTAAGACAAATGGATGGTACACTTAGTCATATGATAATGACATGCTCAAACGCTTTGTTTTGTTGCATGCACGTTAGCAATTGTGTTAGATGCACAGCACCTTGCAGAATTGCTTCATTGCAGATGGGCAAAATTTAAAAAAAAAAACAGTTGACCATTTCAATCAAAAAGTGAGACCACCTCCTGAAATTTTATACACCTTTAGCAGCACCTCTATTGCCAGCGTCTCTCCTTCATTCTGGCTAATAATCCCACTCACTATAAATCTAATGATATCCAATTTATAGATGTTTGAAGTGGCGCCAGAGAGATCTGACATTGTGGCAGGGAATGCACTGACAATCTAATACAGTACAGCAGAGTGAATGCATACACGTCAGCCACAGTGACCACTCAACAGACACAGATTTCAACTCGCTGATTTAAAAATCGATTTGGTTTTTAATGGGCAGCAGGTTGAAGAGAAGCAGAAGACTGTGATGAAGAAAGAGATGGACAGCGATCTCCATGGATACACATTGCAGGGTCTTAAGGAGGAGGTGAGAGACAGCAAGGAGCAGGGTGGTAGCAGAGTGTTAGGAAGCAGAATGCTGGTGTCATTCACATCCTCTGCTGCTTTGGGGTCATGTTTACTGCGAACCCTACAAAGTATGAAGACACAATGTCCTTCATGGGGTTCCCTCTTAAATGCTGCAGAGGTATTTATACAGAGCATATAACAAAGCGAGAATCTCCCATATTGTTTCACAGGAGTGGTATCACATAAAGCTTGACGTTGAACTACACAAGGAGATATTGGAACAGATTACTAGAAACTTTGTGAAAGCTGAAGTTTTAAGGAGCATCTTAAAATGGAGCAAAGAAAGGTAGTGAGTGATTTTGAAGAATGGATTTGTGCCTCAGTTTTGTGCCAGTAAACTAAGGATAAATATTTCACTACAATTTATAATCTCAGAGCAATAATACATTTAATTCCAGGCTGAAAGGTGACAGGGATAATGAGCATAATGGTTACCATCTGAACACCTAAACCAGGCACCTCACTAGCAATAATCGATAGTTACCTTATCATCTGTCATAATGCAGCTAGGAACACTCCCAGTGCTGAGATAGGCCAGAGAGTTTCTCTCCCTGCAGGACTGACAAAGAGCTGCAATGTCGGGGATTCTGTTTTCTGGATGAAATGTAAAAAAAAGTGACCCTGTCTGCCCTTTCTGATGGATGTAATACTTCAAAAGGAGCAGTGTTTTTGTTTTACAGATGGTCGGTATCTAATTGCTATTTGCGGGAGCTTGCTGTGAAGAAATTGGCTGCTACATTGTTTCCTACATTGTAACAGGAACTATTCTTAAAAAGGACTCCATCAGCTATAAAAAGTCTAACGGCCCTGAGGTTGTGAAAGGTGCGATAAAATTTCAGGTCTTTATTCATTCAAATACTTTGAAACGACTTCATTGAACTCTTTCACCTTGCAGTTACCAAGAAATTCCCAAACTAAGGGCGAGTTCATACCTGATAAACCTTTTTGTCTGAACTGACAATCTCAAAGCAGGCATTCTTCTTGGAATCTTTTCGAAGATTGGAAACTAGATAAGCGTCATAGAGGTAAAAGGCGCCTCGCTGTTGTTTATCTACAAAAAAAAAATGGACAAAGGTGGAACATTGCAACAAGTAACTCAACTATAGCTACACTCCAAAACCTCAGGAATGCAAAAGTTCGAATGGAGTAGTCAGTACCATGCTGTAACTCAGTGTGTACTCTATTTTTTCACATAATGTGGGTGTTGCTGGCTGAGGCCAGCATTTATTGCCCATCACTAGTTGCCCCATGAAAAGTTGGTGATGAGCTACTTTTATGAACCGCTGCAGTTCCTGTGCTGTAGGGTAGACCCACAATGCCCTTAGGGAGGAAATTCCAGAATTTTGACCCAGTGACAATGAAGGAACAAACATGAAGGGCATAGTCTTTGTTTTTTTGAGGCTAAGTTTGGCAGCAAGCCAAAAAGCAGGAGCTATTTTCATTAGGTTGGTGGGGGGTGGGGGCTGGATGTTTTGTCACAATAATGTTCTTCTCAACTCATGAAGCATGCAATAGCAGGTAAAAATCAAAATTTCACAGGCTGACAGACACAAAGTTTTGCAAGCCTCCCTTTTCTGGTATTTTCTGGACACCTTGTTTAAAAGGCACATGGACATTTTTGTCACTCTCTGTAACCCAGGAGCATCATTCCAGCTCAGTTCATCACCTCCACCTCCCCCACCCACAGACAGACTGAAAAGCTGTGTCGATGTTCAGCAAAGTCTCCCAAGAGATTCTCTGGAAAGTTGACCAGGAGCGAAAGAAAGTGCTGCTCCCTAGGGATGGCAAAAGGAGGACAAAGGAAAACAAAGGTGGCTGTGGAGGTCAGCAACCATTGGTGTTTCAGGAGAACCTGACCCTAGTGCCACCACAGGATGAATGATCCGCTGGGTTCCACCAGGGCATTTCGTTTTAGTCCTTCATGGAACGTGGGCATCACTGACCAGGGCAGCATGTATTGGCCATTCCCCATTGCCCCTGAGAAGGTGGTGGTGAGCTGCCTTCTTGAATTGCTCTAGTCCTTGGAGAAACTATCCCTCTGCCCGCTCAATGCTTCATGCCCCCTGAGCCTGAGTGAACATTGTTACCACTGCCCAGGACAAGATTGGGTGCCAGACATCTCCAACAGATGCCCCATGTGCAGTCATTGTCTGCCACGTCATTGCAGCTGCCAATCTAGCACTGGCACCGCAGTGCCACTGCCTCAGACACCTCTGTCATGTTCACCTGACCCTTAAAACATAAAAGGAGCTTCTACACTCAGCAGCTTCACTGACCTTTCATTACAACGAGGGAATGTGTATATCTGATAGCATCTCACTAAAGGCTTACATGGGACAAGGATGCAATCCCAAAACATGGCTTCAGGATGAACAGTTCCCAGGGATCTCTGGCACACGCATCTTATCAGATTTGACTAATTCACATCAATTCTGCTCTTTGATGGCACGGAACCAGCTTTCAGTCAGAACCTTCTGATTCCTGAGGACCCCACAGCACATTCTTCTCCCTAGGAACACACACGGACAATCCCAGTCCTAGGGATTACCCTCTCAGTCTGGATCTATCAATGCAGGCAGAGTATGCATTGTACCAATGCTAATGTCTCTTCATCTTTCTCTCCTTTTGCTGCAGAAGACTGTGTACAATAAGCAAGAACTGGCCCACATGGGGAGTAGGGGGATGCCTGACATAAGATCATAAAGCATAAGAGCAGAAATAAGGCATTCGGCCCATCGCCATTCAATCATGGCTGATAAGTTTCTCAACCCCATTCTCCCGCTTTCTCCCTGTAACCCTTGATCCCCTTGATAATCAAGAACCTATCTATCTCAGTCTTAAATATACTCAGTGACCTGGCCTCCACAGCCTTCTGAGGCAGTGAGTTCCATAGATTCACCACTCTCTGGCTGAAGAAGTTTCTCCTTATCTCCGATCTAAAAGGTCTTCCCTTTACTCTAAGGATGTGCCCTCGGGTCCTAGTCTCTCCTACCAAAGGAAACATCTTCCCAACGTCCACACTGTCCAGGCCATTCATTATTTTATAAGTTTCTATTAGATCCTGAGAAAGACCCTTTTATCCCCACTCTCTGCTTTCTGCCAGACAGCCAATCTCCTATCCATGCTAACACCTTGCCTCTAACATCATGGGCCCTTATCTTACTCAGCAGCCTCCTGTGCGGCACCTTGTCAAAGGCCTTCTTGAAGTCAAGGTAGATAACATCCATTGGCTCTCCTTGGTCTACCCTGCTCATTACTTCCTCAAAGAATTCTAGCAGATTTGGCAGGCATAACCTCCCCTTGATGAAGCCGTGCTGACTTTGCCCTATTTTACTATACACTTGCAAATATTCAGAAATCTCATCCTTCACAATGGGCTCCAAAATCTTACCATCGACCGAGGACAGGCTAATTGGCCTGTAATTTCCTATCTTCCACCTTACTCCTACTGAGATCACCATTAACATCTCCACTATCTCCTCACCAATCTCCTTCAGAACTCATGGGTGCAGTCCATCTGGTCCAGGTGATCTATCCACCTTCAGACCTTCCAGCTTTTCTAGCACCTTCTCCTTGGTAATGGCCACCATACTGACCTCTGCCCCACCCCCTCCGAATCTCTTGAACTTTTGGGATATTACTCATGTCTTCCACCGTGAAGACTGACACAAAGTACTTATTCAGTTCCTCCACCATTTCTCTGTTACTACCTCTCCAGCGGCCCAAAGTCCACTTTTGCCTCTGTTTTGCCCTTTACATACCTAAAGAAACTCTCTTACAGTCTTCTTTTATATTACTGGCCAGCTTACCCTCACATTTAATCTTCTCCCTCCTTATTTCTTTTTTCATTGCCCTCTGTTAGTCTTTGTAGGTTCCCAACCCTCTGGTTTTCCACTGCCCTTTGCCACATTATATGCTTTCTCTTTTGCTTTTATGCTGCCCCTGACCACCCATGTCAGCCATGGTTGCCTCAGCCTCGCTTCAGAATGCTTCTTCTTCCTAGGGATGAATTTTTGCTGTGTTTCCCAAATTAATCCCAGAAACTCCTGCCATTGCTGTTCTACTGTCTTTCCTGCTCGGCTCCTCTCCCAGTCAATTCTGCCCAGCTCCTTCCTCATGTGTCTGCAGTCGCCTTTATTCAGCTGAAATACCGTTACCTCTGATTCTATCTTCTCCCTCTCAAACTGCAGAGTAAATTTTATCATCTTACTGCCTCCTACGGGTTCCTTCACCTTAAGCTCCCTTATCAAGTCTGCCTCATTGCACAACACTAAATGCAGTGTTGCCTGTTCCCTTGTGGGCTCCACCACGAGCTGCTCCAAAAAGCCATCTCATAGACATTCCACAAATTCCTTTCCTTGTGATCCATTACCAACCTGATTTTCCCAGTCCACCTGCAGATTGAAATCCCCCACGATCACTGTAACCTTACCTTTCTTACACCCCTTTTCTGTCTCCTGGTGTATCTTGTGCCCCAAATCCTGACTACTGTTTGGAGACCTCTACCTAACTCACATTATGGTTTATTTATGTTTGCAGTTCCTCAACTCTACCCACACCTACATCTGACCCTATTTCATTTCTTGCTATGGATTTAATTTAATTTCTTATGACTAAGGCAACCCCACCCCCTCTGCCCACCTGATTTCAATATTCAATAGGATGCAAATCCTTGGATATTTAGCTCCCAATCCTGATCCCCTTGCAACCATGTCTCCATGATGCCCGCCACATCATTAGTACCAATTTCAATCTCTGCCACTCTGTCATTTACCTTATTTTGTACACTGCGTGCATTCAGATACAGGACCTTCAGGCCTGTATTGGCCGTCCCTCTTCTCATTGTCGTTCGTTTATCCAGTGTGCTTGATTCCTAACCCTTTCCAAACACTCTGTCCTATTTTGGGTGCTAGAGACTTTAATAACTGCTCCTGAGTTCTCCTTTCTTTTCATTTTTTTCTTATTTTCCCATGCAGTTGAATCCACCGCCAACAGATGTTAGCCTGCTGCTTTGTTTCCCACTGGGGCAAGTTTCACCATTCCCTTCCCCCCACCTTACTAGTTTAAAGTCCTGTTGACCAGCCTATTTACCCTTTTCGCTAGAACATTGGTCCCAGGTCAGTTCAGGTGGAGACCATCCCAGCGGTACAGACCCCTTCTGTTCCAATACTGATGCCAGTGTCCCATGAAGAGGAACCTCTCTTTCCTGCGTTCCTCCTTTAGCCACGCGTTTACTTCCCTTATTCTTGCAACCCAATGCCAGTTGGCACGCGGCTCGGGCAGTAATCTGGAGATGCAATGTCTTCGCCATCAATGAGCTGACAGAGACTCGGAGGCAAAGCCAGGGAAAGTCTAGCAGAGGAGCCAGGGACTGTGTACAGATGGCAAGGAAGAGCAGAGGGAGCTGGTCAAGGTCACTGCAGCTCCACAATGTCATGGCTCCGGAACACGGCTGACTCCGCGGAATGGGTGGGGGGCTGTTGTGGAGCAACTGGTCCCAGCAGGACCATCAGCGTCAACGGAGAAGGTGCACTCCATCACATGGACCCTGGCAGCGTCGGTGTTCGGGACCGATGGGGGTCTGTCAGTGCTCAGGGTTAATGAGGGGTGTTGGTGCTCAGGGTGAATGCTGGCGATGTTGCCGTTTCTAGTTGGTGGAGCTCATTCTCCTTTATTCTGCAGTGAGCAGTTCTGTTCAGAGCTCAGACACTAACCGAATGCTCCCCTGATGGTCTGGTTCAGCCTGGGCTGTGACTGCGTCAGTTTGGGGACCAGGAGTTTGGGTTGTGCAGGAACGTGGGGAAATCTGCTTGGGGCCCCTTCCAATTGCCCTGCTCATATTCTGTGAGTCCTTCCTACATAGACTAATTTCAAAGAGACATGGAAGTTGTAAGTTTTCATTTCATTCACTCCCCTCCCCCTCTACACAACATCTTTCCCCCATCACTGTCAATGGCATTCTCCGCCCCCTCTGTCCTTCCTCAAACCCGTCCATAACAATTGCTCCTTTAACTCTCTCTCCCAATATTCCTGCTCTTTCCCCTGATCCCACTGCCATCCAGAACCCCCAGCCTCACCCTTACCCTACCCATTATTCACCTCCAGTTCCTGCTCTCCTAATTACCCAATAGGGCCTTCCAGCCTAAATATGCAGCTCCCTCCTTTCCTTGCCCTTTGCCCCTATCCCTGCATCCCAGCTTTCTCCCTCCATTCCCCAGCATCCTTCTTATGCCCCAACAACCAGGCCCTTTCAGTCCCATTCCCTACTGCTCTCAATCAACCAATGTTTTCTGAACCATTTGAGTTTGGCCTCATGTTGAGTTAGTTTGGCCCTGGTGATGTGTGATGGTGTCAGTTAATGGTGTCTGCCTTGTTTTGGCTGGCTAGTTGACTTTGTGCAACCATTTAATGTTAGTGGTGTGCCTAACAAAGAAATGGGTTGGTTAAGAAGGGGCCGAGTTAGTGATGAAGTTTGTACACACAGCGCTATGGCGTAGGTCATGTACTCACTCACCCCTCATCGAACACGCACATTTCCTGTTTCCGACCAACTAGATTACATCGGTGAGTGTAATTCAATTGGACCAGGGAGTTTGTAAATATCCATTGACAACAAAACCGAAGAGGCTCTTAAGCATCAAGTTCAGAAAAGCTGACCGACCTGAAAACATTCCGAGAGCCTAGCATCACAACTTTAGGCTGCTGTCAGGAAAGTGAACTTTTGCCTCACACCCGCCTTTCTAAACCATGCTGGCAGGCCCAGGCGATTCCACCCACTGCTGTATGTCAGGACGCCGTGCCCCATGGAGGGGTACTTGCAAATGGCGGTGTTGCCAGGGGTGTGCTGCTCTTGTGCTTCTCGGTGGTACAGCAGGTCACGGGGTTTGGGAAGTCCCGTCAAAGTAACTTGCTGCAAATACATTCCTGCCACTGTGTGTCAGTGGTGGAGGGAGTTAATGCTGAAGGTGGTGCAATGGGCTGCTCTGTCCTGGATGGGGTCAAGCTTCTTGAGTGTTGTTGGGGCTGCACCCATCCAGGAAGGTGGGGTCAGCTTCTTGAGTGTTGTTGGGGCTGCACCCATCCAGGAAGGTGGGGAGTATTCCATCACACTCCTGGCATGTGCCTTGTCGATGGTGAACAGGCTTTGGGGGGAGGGTCTTTTTACCTTCTGAAAGAGCCAAGCAAGCCATTCAGTTGCACCAACTCTCAGAGCTAATCTGGGATAGACAATGAATTCCCGCATTGCCAGAAATGGGATGACGTGTATCCAGAAAACACAAACAATGGGCAAAAAAGGGTCAGGGGAACAGGCAGAAAATGGCACCGTCACAATACTCCTAGGAGAGCCAGTGCAGATTCAATAAGCTAAACGGTCTCCAGCTGCACAATTACCACCCGATGACTCTCCGTTATCTCTGGGAAAAATCTACACTTCAGCTGCAGCCCAGTTTAGGAAACGGTGAGGACATTGCAAGGATTGCATTGATACCTTTCTCACTGCCATAGTAATAGAATATATTTGCGTTCAACACACAGAAACGCCTCTGCCACTCGGATCCGAAGAAACTGTGATCTAGAAAAAGAAACAGAAGAACCGTCAAAATGTAACTCTCAAAAAAGTTTAAAATTGAGAGATTTAAAAGGAACTGTTTCTCCCCACCTGCCCCATCCTGGCCCCCTACCCCTGACACAATGAATTGGCTGAAAGTGCACAAATTTTAGAATCCCTACAGTGTGGAAGCAGGCCATTTGGCCCATCAAGTACACACCGACCTTCCAAAGAATATCCCACCCAGATCCATCCCCCAACCTATCTCTCTAACCCTGCATTTCCCATGGCTAACCCACCTGACCTGCATATCCCTGGACACTGTGGGCAATTTAGCATGGCCAAACCACCCTAGCCTGCACATCTTTGGACTGTGGGAGGAAACCGGAGCACCCAGATGAAACCCACCAAAATATTGTTAAAGGACAGGATCAGGATTAATGATGATATCAGTTCCAAAGAAGAGTCATACTGGACTCAAAATGTTAACTTTGTTTCTCTCTCCACAGACACTGCCACACTGCCAGACCTGCTGAGTTTCTCCAGCATTCCGTCTGTCTCTCTGTCCATTTCAGGTTTCCAGCACTGGCAGGATTTTGCCAATTGTTTGATTATGATATAGTTCCACAATGCCAACCTTCACATGCCCTGTTTCTGACAGTAAAACACCTTCAGGCACTACACAGGAGCATAATGAAAGAATTACCGACAGGTTTAGGGAGGTGATTCCAGAGGGCACAACCTCCAATGGCAGAATGATTAAAATTGGGTGGGAGGGGGTGGTACAGAAGGTCAACTGGAGGAATGATGAGATCTTAGTAGATGGGGGCTGGAGGAGGTTCCAGACAGAGAGAGGCAAGGCCATGGAGGGACTGAACATGGAACATGAGCATTTTTTCCCTTTATTTACCAACAGGATGTGGGCATCTTTGACTAGGCAGCATTTATTGCCCATCCCTAATTGCCTAGAGGACAGTTGAGAGTCAACCCCATTGCGGTGGGTCTGGAGTCACACGTAGGTCAGACCAGGTAAGGATGGCAGTTTCCTTCCTAAAGGACATTAGTGAACCAGATGGGTTTTTCCAACAATCAACAATGGATTCATGGACATCATTAGATTCTTAATTCCAGATATTTCATTGAATTCAAATTCCGCCATCTGCCATGGCGGGATTTGAACCCGGTCCCCAGAACATTACCTGGGTCTCTGAATTAACAGTCCAGTGATAATACCACTAGGCCATCGCCTCCCCCAAAAACCATTTTTAAACCGCTGTGTTACTGGATCAGTATGGAAATAAGTAGAAAGCCCTTACAATCTTGGCCCTTCTACAAATGCTTAAGATTGTGCTCAAACCAAGTGGTTAATGTTCCCATTTCTGTCTCATGCAATTAGAGGCACAACTCAAATTGGTGGAGGTGGAAAATGGAGTTCAATTCAGTTTAATAATGACTAAATTATGATCACATCTTCATTATACTTTTAATATCTTTGATGTGACCCTTTAGGACAGGGTTTAGCTTCTAGCATTAATGTTCTTTGATGTTTATGCGGTAAAATTATTTTGTTTAAACCGTGAACCTTGTGGCTTCATTCTTCTCGTGAACAGAGCTTCTTGGATTCTAAACAAAATAAAACGATTACTGGCTTCATCCAAGGTCTTTCCTTTCATGATGCCAGTTGAGGGATAAAAACGCCGGCCAGCATTGAGGGTCTTAGTTGCATTGGCTTTGTGTTAGGAAGTGGGTACCGCAGCTTTGGATGAGCTCCTGTTATATTGGGTGAAGGTGGAGAAGATGTGAATAGTGAAGTCTGTAGATACCAAAGGCATTGGTCAGGACACTTGCTGAACAGTTTGGAAACACACCCAGAGTCAAAGTCAGAACAAAGTATACGCACTCGGATGAGGAAATCATGCTCTGATGGTAATCTGTAATCAATCACCTCCGGACCAAAAAAGGCTGGAAGTGGAAATTAATTCAGTAAAATACATTTTGTGGGGGATGTCTCATCTGCCCCCTCAGGTTGATCCCAGGACATCATTTCACAAATTCAAAGCTCCCCCCGCCCCAGTCCACCCCAGTGCCCTTGCGAATATTTATCCCTCAACTGACATCATGAAAAGAATGATGTTGGTCGAAGCCAGTAATGCTTTTATTTTGTTCAGAATCACAAAAAGCTCAGTATTCACAAAAACAGTTGGCAAGAAAGCTGGGAGCTGGAATTTGGAAAAATGAAAGAGACAGGTTGGCTCAGGCTTATGGCCATTTCCAGTTCCTGAAAATTTTGATCTTAATTAACTTTAAGAAAGGCTGATGCCCTCCTGTGTGAAACGGAGACTGGCAGTGCTCCCCTGTGTAATGGACTGTGTAGATCACAAAGAAACAACATAAGACACTACGGGAAAACGAGGCCTCTGTGGAAATACTGGCAGATGAGAGTGTCTTTCAAACTGACAATGAAATTTTCTGAAACCTTGATTGCAAAAGAGAAAACCTTTTGCAGCGAATGGCAGATCTCTCTAATTAACCAAGCGTGCTGTTCTCAGCCTAACATTGTAGACATTGATTACTGATCTCTATGTCCAGGATCATACAGTAAAATTTAAAAAAAAAAACTGTGGCTTGTTAGTTCTTACATATTGAATCCAAGGTCACTTTGCTATCATTCAGGAGGTTTGTTTTTGTTTGACGGGGAGCTTCCAATTTTACCCAGCTTTCCTGCTGAAAGTTTGTAATTTGGTTCACCAACTCTGTTCTGACGTGCTCCTGGATGCGTGTTTGCAGGATCTCCAACAGCCCTGCACCCCCCTGACCCCCCACCTTCCTGTCATTGGCTGTCTAACAGATCCATCTTGTATTGCCTCACCTCCACATGCCCAATTAGAAAGTGAGTGGCCTCGCTGGCACCCAATCGGATGGGATCTGATTGTTGATCAAGTAGGCTTTACTTCTCTATGGCCAATATTTTTTCTAAGTCACAAAAAATGGTGTTTGAAAGTAAATTACAAGAAAAAGAAACTATATTTTCATTGACTTGTCAATGCTTTTCTCTTGGAGATTTGGTGCAAACAGTATTCGGGAGATTAGCCTTCACTCCTGGAGATTCCAAGGAAATCCTAGCGGATTGGTAACTTTAATCAATGGACAAAAAAATGCTCCACTTTGTAATAATACCACGAATCCATTGTTGATTGTCAAAAAAAACACATCTGGTTCACTAATGTCCTTTAGGGAATGAAACTGCCATCCTTCCCTGGTCTGGCCTACATGTGACTCCAGACCACAGCAATGTGGTTGACTCTTAACTGTCCTACGGGCAATTAGGGATGGGCAATAAATGCTGCCTAGCCAGTGACGCCCTCATCCCATGAATGAATATTTTATAAAGTAATCACCTTGTCTACTTGTCCTGGAATCTGAATCTCTGATTGGAAATAGTGAGTGAATGTCCTCTGTTTTATGGCCCCTAGTTTCCATTGCACTGACAAGTAAAAATTTCCGGTCCTCAAGCCCCATCTTAATTTGTAAAGATGTCTATCAGGTCACCCCTCAGCCTTCCACTTCTTACAGAAAAGAGTTCCAGTCTGTGCCAGTCTCTCCCAACAGCCATAGCCCCCTCATTTTGGAAAAAGCCTTGTAAACCCTTTTTGTACCTTCTCCAGTGGCTCACTACTCTTATTATAATCTGAAGGCTAGAATTTTAACTGAGGTACCTCATGGATATTCGAATCCTGATAATATTTTCCCCTCAGGTTCCTTTTCCCCATGGTGTCTGCAGCTACTTTTAAGGATTCAATGCATTGGGGAAAAGTTGGTGACAGCACAGATTACACATGGAGTAACACACCTAATTCTGGTTACAACACTCCTAAATAGAACACGAATGCACTGATGATAATCAACAGGAAAGGCTCAAGAATGATTGCAAGTGCACAAGGGATGAGTTATGAGGAAAGATTAGAGGAGATTAAATTCTGTGCTGAGAAAGAAGCAAGTTAAAAAGAATCTTTCCAAGGTATACAAAAGAATAAATGGTGTACAGATAAGGTGAATACAGAATATTATTTCCACAAGTCAGGTCAGAGGGACAAGACAATATATATTTAAATTAGTGAAGAGTAAATTTAAATCTAGCCTGCCTATCGACCCATTGCTCATTGACCGACATTACCTCCATGTCCCTCAACGCATCAAATGTTAAATGCTCATCTTCCTGTTCTGACTTCTCCCATCCCCATCCATATCACTCCTCTCGCACTAACATGACCAGCCCACCCCCTGGCTCCAAACTCAGCATTTCTCCAACATTGCCTTCCTGTGTAGCTCCAACCCTACTGGCTGCACAATTATCCATCATTGCCTCAAGCTCTGGATTCCATATTTTGAATCTCACCAACTCTTTCACCTCTTTAAATCCTTCCCTAAGAGCCCCATCGCTGAGAAAGATTTTAAGCTTTTCCCAATATTGCCTCCTTTGGTTTGACCATCTTTACCTAAAATCCATAAGATGGAGGAGCAGAAACAGGCCATTCCTAGACTCAGAGTCATTGAGTCATAGCGCACAGAAACGGCCCTTCAGCCCATTGAGTCTGCTGTGTTGTTCGATGAGATCACGGCTGATCTGATAATCCTTAACTCCACTTTCCGGTCTTTTCCCCATAACCCTGGATCCCCTTACTGTTTAAACATCTGTCCATCACACCCTTAAAACTACTTAATTACCCAGCCTCAACAGCCCTCTGCCGTAAAGAATTCCATAGATTCATTCCCCTCAGAGAAGAAATTCCTCCTCATCTCTGTCTTAAACATACGATCCCTTATTTTGAAAGTATGTCTTCTGGTCCTAGACTCTCCCACAAATGGAAAATAATCTCTCTTCATTTACCCTGTTAAATCCTCTAAGAGTCTTGTATGTTTCAATAAGGTTGCCTCTCAATCTTCTATATTCCAATAAGTATAGGCCTAATCTACTCAACTTCTCCTCAAGAGAGGGTCCCTCCAGACCAAGGTTCAGTCTAGTGAACCTTCTCTGGACTGCCTCCAATTCAGGTATATCTTTCTATCAGGTATATCGATAAGGGGCCCAAAACTGTTCACAGTATTCCAGCTGTGGTCTGACTAGTGCCTTGTACAGTGTTAGCAAAGCCTCCCTTTTTTATACTCCATTCTCTTTGAAATGAAAGCCAACATCCCATTTGACTTCCCTCTTACCCACTGAATGCTAGCTTCTGTGATTCACGCACAAGGACTCCCAAACCCCTGCGTTCTGTAGCTTTCTGCAGTCTTTCTCCATTTAAATAATCTTCAGCTTGTCTATTCTTCCTGCCAAAGTGCATAACCTCACAATTTTCCACAATATATTTCATCCTCCAGGTTTTTGTCTTCCTCATTACGCTTCCTTTAAGTGCCTTGGGTCAGTTTTCTTGTTGGAGGTGTTATATAAATGCTCGTCCTCATTGCAAATACAGATTGCAGGAAAAGTTATTTTCCTCAAGGGGGCAGCAGCATATGGAGTATAAACCTGCCGGTAAATATAGTGGAGTCTGGTGCAGACTGGATGAATTCCAGATCAGATCAACAGACTTGATCTCATCCTGATTAATATTCTGACGAGGCAAGGACTGGATGCAATGGCCAGAATTATACTCTCTCATTCTCTGCCTTACATTCTACAGAGAACAGCTCGTTAGCTGCTGAACTGTGGGAATCTTGGCACTGGGAGAACTGAGTGAGTGCAGACTGTCTAACCTCATGCTTTTCAGAAATTTCACAGGCATCCTGAGAATGAAACATTTCCCCCCCCCACCCCCAATCGCTCTCCACTGGATATAAACAGGTCCTGGGGGTAAAGCAGTAAAAACCAACTCCTTCCTCATTTGACTATTCAGTACATTCACCAGGAAGAGACAGAAAAAAAGATGCATTTCCAAAATTCCAGGAAAGGTCATGAGGAGAAAATGTTAAAGAGAAAGAGAGTTTTTTTCTCCCCCCCCCAAGTATACTGTACCTCTGCGTTTCTTCTCCAAATAACCCTGCTTCATGATGCTGGGCAGGTCCTGGGCTGCAACTGTTGCGATACCTCCACATTGCACTAATATATAAGAGAACAGAGGCAGAAAAATCAATAGCTTGCTCCCCATGGAACAACAGTCTAGATTAACAGTCTTAGCAAGACAAAAGTTAAACCTAAGTGTCTCCTTTGAAACTCAGAGTGAAATTTTAACCCCCAGAAACCAGTAATTGTTTTGGGTGGGTCAGATGGGAGCTTCAATCAACCAACAAAAGTACTTTTGGTTCTGAAGGAGGTGGGGTGGGACCAGAAAGAGGTGGGAGTTACTGGGGGATAGGCTTATAAATTTACAAATTTTAATGTGGCTCTGGAGGCCCTCTGGTGCGTTGGATAGCCTCCCTGCCCTTTAGCCAGAAGGTCCAGGTTCAAGGCCCACTCCAGGACCTGATTGCTGATGAAGGGGTGTCCATCATGTGGTCAAAGTAGTCAAGGCAGGAAATGCAGAAGAAATTCCTGGTTGGCTTTTCTCAACAATCCACTTTGCCAGTGCAGTGCAAATCCCTCATGAAAAAGATCTGGTGAGGGCTGGATGAAGATGATGTCCTGGGGATGGAGGTCAGTGGAAAGGTAGGAAGAAATGGGGCACAGAGAAGGAAGTACTTAGGGATGAACTGAAGGCCAGGTTTGACTATGACAGATTCAATGCTGACAGCTATTTAACCCAACACTAAGGGGGAGTAAATGAGATTTGTAGGTTTCTAAATCATTGTAATCAGTCTACAAGAGAGAACCATTAAGGGTTGTAAAGTGGGGAGGAGGAGAAGACTTCTTTAATTCACTTATGGGATTTTGGCAAGGCTGGCTGGGCCAGCATTTACTGTCCATCTTTCACCATCCTACAGGAGGTGGTGGTGAGCTGCCTTCTTGAATTGTTTTAATTTATTTAGTATAGATTCACCCACAATGCTATTAAGGGGGGAGTTCCAGGATTTCGACCCAGCAACACTGAAGGAATGGTCATATATTTCCAGGTCAGGATGGCAAGTGGCTTGGAGGGGAACTTTCAGGGGGTGGTGTTCCCATATATCTGCTGCACTTCTCCTTCTGGATAGAAGTGGTGCTGGGTTTGGAAGGTGCTGTCTCAGGAGCCTTGGTGAATTTATGTGTTCGAATAGGAAAAAGCAGGGTAAAGTGATCACATCCCCCATGCTGAGAAAAGAAATCAGGCAGGAAATTAGAAAGTAGGTGCTCAAAGTTAGAAATATCTGGACTACTACTGGTGCAATGTGCTAATGAAAGGATGAATAGGAGGACAGAGCAGATGAATGTGTGGCTGAGGGGCTGGTGCAAGGGGCAAGGATTCACATTGTTTGGACAATTGGGATCTTTTCGGGGTAGAAATGCCTTGTATAAGAGGGACAGGTTCCACCTTGCAGGGAGATTCGCTAGTGTTACTGGGGAGCTTTAAACTAGAGAGAGGGGTGGGGGGAGAGACAGCAAAGCCGTAGTGAGAAAAGAGAAAAGGCTGGGGCTGGTACAGTAGATAAGGGAAGCAAGTCTAATAGTCAAGTCAGACAAGAGCTTGGCAGAGAACGAGGTAAGACTGATAAATTAACCTGCATTTATTTCAATGCAAGAGGCCTGACAGGTAAGGCAGATGAACTCAGGGCATGTTTGGGAACATGGGAACATGGGACTGGGATATCATAGCAATTACGGAGACATGGATCAGAGATGGACAGGACTGGCAGCTTAATGTTCCTGGGTATAGATACTACAGGAAGGCTACAAAGAGGGTTAAGAGTGGAGTGGGAGTTGCCTTTTTGATTAGGGATAACATTACGACCGTATGTAGGGAGGATATTTCTGGGAGATCATCCAGTTAAATTATTTGGGTGGAACTTAAAAACAAGAAAGAGATAATCATCTGTCGGTATGATCTTATAGCTCCATCCACAATCCCAATAGCCAGCAGGAAATTGAGAAACAAAGATGTAAGGAAATGTCAAATATCTATAAGAAAAATAGGGTTGTAATGGTAGGGGATTTTAACTTTCCAAACATTGATAGGGACTGTCATAGTGTTAAGGGCTTGGATGGGGAGGAATTTGTTAAGTGTGTACAAGAAAAGTTTCTTATTCAATATGTGGATGTGCCTACATGAGAAGGAGCAATACTTGACTTTCTGTTAGGAAATAAAGCAGGGTAAATGACCAAGGTGTCACTGGGCGGGGTAGACACTTTGGGGCAAATGATCATAATGTTATTAGTTTTGATCGTTGACTAGTTTTGAATAGTTATGGAAAGGATAGAATTGATTAAAGAGTTAAAGTTCTAAATTAGAGTAAGGCCAATTTTTAGGTTATTAAACAGGAACTTTCAAACGTTGATTGAGGGAGACTGTTTGCAGGTAAAGGGATGCTTGGAAAGTGGGAGGCTTTTAAAAATATGATAGCGAGAGTTCAGAGACAGTTCATTAGTGTGAAGGGCAAGGCTGGTAGGTGTAGGGAATGTTGGATGATTGGAGAATTTGAGGCTCTGGTCAAGAAAAAGAAGGAGGCATTTACCCAGGTATAGACAGCTGGGATCGAATGAATCCCCAGAAAAGTATAAGGGCAGGAAGAGTATACTTAAGAGGGAAATCAGAGGGCAAAAAAGGGACATGAAATAGCTTTGACAAATAGAGTTAAGGAGAATCCAAAGAGATTCTACAAATACATTAAGGGCAAAAGAGTAACTAGGGAAACGGGCAAGATACTAAGCAAGTATTTCATGTCAGTATTTACTGTGGAGAAGGACATGGAAGCTCAGGAAATTGGGGAAATAGTGATATCTTGAAAAGTGTCCATTTACAGAAGAGGTGGTGCTGGAGGTCTTAAAACACGTAAAGATACATAAATCCCTGGGACTTGATCGGGTGTTTCCCAGAACTTTGTGGGAAGCTAGGGGAAGTGTTTGCTGGGCCCATTGTTGAGATATTTGTATCATCGATAGTCACGCGCGAGGTGGTAGAAGACTGGAGGTTGGCTAACATGGTGCCATTATTCAAGAAAGGTGGTAAGGAAAAGCCAGGGAACTACAGACTTAAGTCAGTGCTGGGTAAGTTGTTGGAGGGAATTCTGAGGGATGAGATTTACATGCATTCGGAAAGGTATGAACTGATTAGAGATTGTAAGCATGACTTTGTGCATGGGAAATTGAGTCTCACTAACTTGATTGAGTTTTTTGAAGAGGTGACAAAGAAGACTGATGAAGGCAGAGCAGTAGACATTGTCTTAATGGACTTCAGTGAAGTGTTCAACAAGGTTCCGATGGTTAGCCAGATTAGCAAGGTTTGATCATATGGGATCGGGGGAGCTAACCAACTGGATACAAAATTGGCTTGAAGGTAGGAGACAGACAATGGTGATGGAGGAATTTTCAGACTGAAGGCCTGTGACCAGCAGTGTGCCATAAGGATTGATGCTGGGTCCACTGCTTTTCATCATATATAAATAAGTGATCGAGATGTGAATGTTGGAGGTACGGTTAGTAACTTTGCAGATGCCACCAAAACTGGTAGTGTAGTGGGCAGTGAAGAAGATTATCTCAAAGTACAACAGGACCTTGATCAGATGAGCCAATAGGCCGAGGAGTGGCAGATGGACATTAATCCAGATAAATATGAGGTGCTGCATTTTGCCAAGGCAAACCAGGGCAGGACTTATACAGTAAATGGTGCCCTAGGGAGTGCTGTCGAATAGAGAGACCTAGGGGTGAGGTGCATAGTTCCTTGAAAGTAGAGTCACAGGTAGACAGGACGGTGAAGGCGGCCTTTGGTAAACTTGACTTTATTAGTCAGAATATTGAGTATAGGATTTGGGAGGTCATGTTGTGGCAGTAGAGGATATTGATGAGGCCACGTTTGGAATACTGTGTTCAGTTCTGGTCACCCAGCTATAGGAAGGATGCTGTTAAACTTGAAAAGTGTGCAAAACAGATTTACAAAGGCGATGCCAGGACTGGAAGGATTCAGCATTAGGGAGAGGCTGAAAAGGCTGGAGTTATTGTTCCTGGAGTGCAGGCGCTTGAGGAGTGACCTTACAGGCTTATAAAATCATGAGGGGCATGGGTAGGGTGAACAGACAAGGTCTTTTCCAGAGAGTAGGGGAGTCCAAAACTAAAGGGCACAGGTTTAAGGAGAGAGGGGAATGATTTAAAAAGGACCTGAGGGGCAACCTTTTTGCACAGAGGGTGGTGCGTGTATGGAATGAGCTGCCAGAGGAAGTGGTGGAGGTGGGTACAATTACAACATTTAAAAGGCATCTGGATGGGTATATGAATAGGAAGGGTCGAGGCCCGAAACGTCAGCTTTTCTGCTCCTCTGATGCTGCTTGGTCTGCTGTGTTCATCCTGCTCTACACCTTGTTATCTAGGGTTTAGAGGGATATGGGTCAAACGCTGGCAATTGGGACGAAGTCATATTGGAATGTCTGGTTGGTGTGAATGAGTTGGACTGATGGGTCTGTTTCCCTGCTGTACGACTCTATGACTTCAGAGTAACACCATCACAGATGACAAGCACGGGTCTTGCTCACACTTTGGTCAATGGTGAATGGTGATAGGAAGAAAGACCAATAAATATGCATTAAGAAAAACAATAGTCAGCGTTGAAAACTTAATGACTTCTAACTGGTATTGAACACTGACATATACAGAGAGCAATGACCTTTTAATATCCCATAATGTGTTCAGAGAATCCCTGAGCGTCTGCACAGTCTCACTCATTGTTTTGTTTTAATTCTGCGAGATCTAAGCTATGATTAGAACCTTTCCACTATTCCCCAGTCAATGTCCACCTGCAGACATGCAATAGAGAGGTTCCTCAAAACCCTGAGCTCTCAGGTAGGATTCTCCAACACAGGCACTATCTTCACCAACTCTCTCTACACAGGACAATGTGAAGCTGTGGGAGGATTCACAGTTTAATCAACAGTTTGTAACATGACACCAAACATCTTTCCATCAGCCAGTCAGGGACTTTTCCTAAATGGTAGGAGATTCATGGGCTCTCAGAATATGCACAGAGCTGGGGGTGGGGTGCAGGGAGTGTGTGTGTGTGTTTGTGTTAGGGGAGGGGAACGAAGAGGGAGAAAATGCGTGTGCGTGTGTGTGGGAGAGTGAGGACAGTGAGTGAGTGTGTGTGGGGTACTGTGTATGTGTGGGAGAGGGAGAGTATCTGTGTGTGGGCGCTGTGGTTGTTGGCCACAGTGACTAGATGTGGGCGTCCTTTTAGACGTCAACACCAGACTTCCCAGCCAGCTGTCTACCTGTTCTACCTCTGTCGGGGGTATTGAAAGGGACTTGAACACAGACTTTTCTATAGGAGGATCAACGCCGAGGGAGCGCCGCACTGTCGGAGGGTCAGCGCCGAGGGAGCATGGCACTGTCGGAGGGTCAGCGCCGAGGGAGCGCCGCACTGCAGCAGATCATATGTTCCACCTGTCCTATCAGGTGGATATACAACACAGATGATATTTTGAAGCATAGCAGGGATAATAACCCCAATGCCCTGATCCCTCAATCAGCATCATAATAAACACACAGAGTAATGGTCTTTATCACATGGCTGTTTGTGGGTATTTGCTCTGTGAATTGGCTGTCACATTTCCTACATTATGTTATGACTACATGACTACAACCGTATGTTATTTGCTTGAAATACTTTGTGACATCCAGAGATTGCCAAAATTGCGACAGAAATGCAATTCTTCGGTTGTTTTGAGGTCGTAGAAGAGACAGAAGCCAAGACACAGAAATCTCAAAGTGAAGATTCATAACGATTTAGAATATTTCAGAACCCTTTTCACATTTACTTTTCAAAAAAGATAGAGGAACATTTCATTAAGAGTCAAAGTTCGAGAATTCCAGATGGAAAATTGATCTCACTTCTTGTTCATGGAGAGCTCCTGAATATTTTCCAGTAACAGAATAATTCCCCTCGCATTCTCAAAAGAATGTAACAATGAACCAAATAATTCGATGAGATTTTATAATAAGAAAAGTATTTCTTCAAGTCCTTCAGGGTCAGGGATGTGCGTATTGCTGATTAGGCACAGCATTTACTACCCCTCCCTAGTTGCTTGAGAAGGTGGTGAGGAGCTGCCTTCTTGAACCGCTGCAGTCCATGTGCTGTGGGGTTGAACCACAATGCTGTTAGGGAAGGAATTCCAGGATTTTGACCCAGCTACAGTGAAGAATCCTGGAATTCCCTCTTTAACAGCATTGTGGGTCAACCTACAGCACATAGACTGCAGCGGTTCAAGAAAGCAGCTCCCTACCACCTTCTCAAGGGGGCAACTAGGGATGGGCAATAAATACTGGGCCCAGTCAGCGAAACTAAGTACCATGAGCGAAGGAAAAAAATCTAAGAGAGAATCTGACCATTCCCCTATGAAGTTTAATGGAATCATAGAATCCCTACAGTCTGGAAACAGGCCCTTTGGCCCAACAAGTCCACATCGACCCTCGGAGCATCCCACCCAGACCCATCCCCCTATAACCCACCTGATCTACACATCCCTGAACACTATGGGCAATTTAGCATGGCCAATCCACCCTAACCTGCACACCTTTGGACTGTGGGAGGAAACCTGAGCACCCGGAGGAAACCCACACAGACACAGGGAGAATGTGCAAACTCCACACAGACAGTCGCCCGAGGGTGGAATCGATCCTGGGTCCCTGGTGCTGTGAGGCAGCAGTGCTAACCATTTGAGCCGCCCTAACAAAATTCCCATCAACTCAATCCCCCACTATCAACATTCTGATGTTTACCATTGAACAGAAACTGAAATGGATCTGCCATATAAATACCGTGACTACTAAAAAGGATGAGTGACTGGGACTATTTCAGTATAAAACTCAACTCCTACCTCTTCAAAGCCTGTTGTAAAGACCACATCATTTTATTTTGTTTATTTTTGGACTAAGGGATTGGAGATTCTGCTTTAAAACAAGGAGAAGGTGTAAATACAGGGTAGCAGTTTTAGAAATCATTTTTACAGGAGCCCATCACTAACTGTGTTCAAAGTTGCTTTCCCTTGGAACAGGGTGAGTGAAATATATATAAAAAAATCAGACCATGGAGCTGAATGGGATAACAGCTTGACAACAAGGTCTTGTGATTGGTTTCTGACCAGTTGACAATGACTCGTGTGGGGCCAAATGCTGCAGAGAACCAGAGATAACAAGGTGTAGAGCTGGATGAACACAGCAGGCCAAGCAGCATCACAGGAGCAGGAAAGCTGACGTTTCGGGTCGACCCTTCCTGAAACGTCAGCTTTCCTGCTGCTCTGATGCTGCCTGGCCTGCTGTGTTCACCCAGCTCTACACCTTGTTATCTCGGACTCCAGCATTGGCAGTTCCTACTATCTCTGCAGCAGACAACCATCAGCTTACAAAGAAAAATCACCAAAGTCTCTCTCTCTCAGGTAGAAAGTCTCCAGTAATAGCTCATGGTCTTCCACTCACCTTTCTGTACAAATCCCCAGTTAAAAGGAGGAATAAAACACCTTTGAAGACAGTGAACGGACATGCTCTCAACCAGTGAAGTAACAGAGTACTGACGTGCAAAAAACACTATCAACTGCAAAGAACTAAAAGGAATTAGGGAAAGGAAGACAAAGAGAGCAAACTCATGAAATCCTGTGGTCCAGACTGGTGCTATTGAACTGTGCTCTCTGATCATTTGTTTCTTTTTCCCCCATTTTCCAGCCTTAATATCCATCTTGTGTTGTGGGGCAGGGACAACTTAAGAAGGGTTATAGTTTAAATTGTGGAGTTTTAAGTTAATAATTCCATTGGTTAAAGACAATTTGCTGTTATAGTTTTTTTGTTACCGAAACCTGATGAATGTTTTCTTTAAACTTGAGTTCATCAGTTAGCTTTGGATAGTCTGACTGAATCTTTTTACATTAGTGATGATTGTGGGAGTAGTCAGACCTGATTTCCACTGCACTGCCCCAGGTGAGTCACGGCACTGTCTATTGTATAAAAGGCACAAGTCAGGAGTGTGATGAAACACTCTCAACTGATTTGAATAAGTGCAGAAATAGCACTCAGGAATCTCAACATCATCAAGGACAAAGCAACCCTGGATCCACTATCATCAACATTCACTCTTTCCACCAATTATGCACAGCAGGCAGCAGCATGTACCATCCACAAGATGCACTGAAGTTACTCTTCCAGGCTCCTTTGACAGCACCTTCCAAACCTAGCACCTTGAAGGACAAGCACAGCAGTTACATGGGAGCATACCCTCTGAAAGTTTCCCCTCCAAGCCATTTGGACTCAGAAACATAATCGCTGTCCCTTCACTGTTACCAGGTCAAAATCCTGGAACTCACTTTCTCAACAGCATTGAGTGTGCCTATTGCCCATGGTCTGCAGTGGTTCAATACAGCAGCTCACCACCACTTTCCCCAGGACAAATTTGCAAGATATTTGGACAGGCACATGAATAAGAAAAGTTCAGAGGGATACAGGCCAAATGCAGGCAAATGGCACTAGTTTACGTTGGAAAACCTGGTCGACATGGACAACTTGAACTGAAAGGTCTGGTTTGGTTCTGTACGACTCTATAATTCAGGAATGTTTAATAAATCCTGGCTTTGCCAACAACTCTTGCATCTTACGAAACCATGAAGAGGAGGTAACCCTGACGTGCACTACAAATGGCAGATCTTAACCTGTATGACAGTCACTAAAAGTGGCCCCAATGTAGTTGGCCTGGCAGAGAAAGAGGTGGGGAGAGCAACCCAATCAGGTACAAAAACAAAGTTGCTGGAAAAGCTCAGCAGGTCTGGCAGCATCTGTGAAGGAGAAAACAGAGTTAACGTTTCAGGTCCGGAGACCCTTTCTCAGAACCCAATCAGTGTGCCTGGCGTTATGTAGCTGGAATATGCATAGGCAGACCTACCAAATGAGAGGAAGGCTGCTTCTATGAAGCACCCTGCAGTCAAATAGCTCCTCCGGCACATCATCAAAGCTGGTCAGTGATGAGTGGCCAATAAAAAAAAAACACAAGAACTGCAGATGCTGTAAATCAGACACAAAAATAGATTATTTTTAACCATGTTTCAGGTTGTTTCCCCAAAACGTTAACTCTGATTTCCCTCCACAGTTTCTGCCAGACCTGCTGAGCTTTTCCAGCAATTTCTATTTTTGTCAGTGGCTACTTGGGGCAGAGTGCCAGGTTTGCAGACAGCAGTGAAGCAGTGCCAGTGCAAGAGAGCTGGGTACAGGCCAGACAGAGGAGTTTACAGGTCATGACAGTTCTCGAAGTTTCATTTATCTATCCTCCCACATGTTTGCAAATAAGATGAGGAAAGGTACAAGGCAGCGAACACGTATTTCCAAGTGAACGCATGCTGAACTACACATTTGAATTATACTGCAATTTTTCTTATGCAAGAGCAGAATTTGCTTTGTTGTAGCTTATTAAAGCTGTTAATTCACCGGGCGAGGCACAGAGTCAAAAAGAAAGTAGTGGTGCTGAGCATTTGAGAGCAGTGCAATGATAGCCCAGTACTGATATCTCACCCCTCGCTCTCTGCAGATGCACGCTATATATATATATATATATATATCAGATGCACCTATATATATGAGACCCCCCCCCCCAACCCTTTCAGAATATCCCGCCCAGGCCCTGCGAGCAAACATTTCCACCCCCCCTTTCCTGATGTGGCTCACATCAATATGCAAATAGTTCAAAAGGATTGAATTACCCGGGGAGCTGCATTGTTCACTGCGCGTTGCTTCATCAGTTAATCTCATTGCACGCTCACTCGCTGAGTTACAGAACTAGTGCTACTGTGCTTCCCCGGGATCCTCATCCACCAGCCACTGTATAAATTACTCAGCGCAGCCTGGTAATTCAATGAAATAAACCACGGAATTGAAAGCTTCATCTGCACCATTAAAAGATCAATTAAGGTCCTGCAAACCCTGCAGACACTAACAACATTTCCAACCCACCCCCCCCATCTCCGCATTTAATTTATCTGATTGGCCCTTTTGTTATGTGCAGGGTAATGATGCGAGCAAAGCGATGCATTTAAGCCCACATGTACACCCAGTTAGTTATTCCTTTAATATTCCTGTTTTTTATTATTTTTTATTTTTATTTGAAACCTCTCCCTCACTAAACAGCTGGCTGTCTAATCTAGGCTGAGATGAACTACTGCACAGCAGCAATCACAGTGCTTCATACAATCTACACTCCTCATTGCTACAATCAACACTGAAGCCAGGCAGCTGCCCTCAAACCAACTATTTATTGCCAGCTTCCAAGCAGATTTTATTTCATTCCCTCCCTGCCTTTGCCAGTCCTGGTCTGGAGCACGGTGACTCGAGCTTGAGGCATGGAGTCCCTGGGAATAGCTGCCCAGTTTCAGGCCCATTGCCATGCGAAACTGCCAGTGAATTTCTTCAAGATCTGCCATGGCTCAGTGGACAACGCGCCTTCTTCCCCCAGGTCAGAAGGTTCGGGTCCCACTCCATAGGACGCACTGAAAAATTCCCCAAGTCTTCCCTGACAGCACCCACCAAACCCATGACCACTAAGGGTGCAATGGTGGCTCAGTGGTTAGCACTGCTACCTCACAGCACTATGGGACCCGGGTTCAATCCCAGCCTCGGGCAACTGCATGTGTGAGGCTTGCACATTCTCCCTGTGTCTGTGTGGGTTTCCTCCGGGTGCTCAGGTTTCCTCCCACAGTCCAAAGATGTGCAAGTTAGGGAGGATTGGCCATGCTAAATTGCCCATAGTGTGCAGGGATGTGCAGGCTAAGTGGGTTAGCCATGGGAAATGCAGGGTTACAGGGATAGGGTAGGGAGGTGGGTTTGGCTGGGATGCTCTACTGAGGGTTGGTGTAGGCTTGATGGGCCAAATGGCCTGCTTCTACACTGTAGGGATTCTATGATGTGAAAGGACAAAGGCAGCAGATACATGGGAACACCATGCCCTGCAATTTCCCCTCCAAACCACTTACCACCTTAACTTGGGAAATATACCGCCATTCCTTCAGTGTCACTGGGTCAAAATCCTGGAATTCCCTCCCTAAGGAGGTGGATCTATCTACAAAATCCCTCCCCCATTCGCCAGTGTTCAGGAAAGCGTAGTTCAGCACAACACTGAGTGATGGCCAATAAATGCTAGCCTCACTGGCAACGCCATATCCCGAGAACAAATGAGGAGGAAAAGCAATTTCCAAAATCCCAGCTGACACCCAGTACAGTGCTGGGGTAGTGCTGTACTGCCTGGGCATGGGGGTGGGGGTATAACCCGTTCCCATCTGCCCTCTCTGGTGAACACAAAAGGGGCCACAAGACACTTTCAAAGAAAAGGAAGGCAGTTCTCCCGAGTCCTTTGGCTATACGGAGCACCTGGTTCCATGTGGAACTGTGGTTGCCATGATTTGTGCTGCAGCAATCACAATTCCAAAGTTACTTTCTTGGCTATAATGCTGAGGCTGTGAAAGGCAATGTATAAGTGCAAGTTCCAATCTACAAAATCACATTGAGCATTACCTGTCCGATCCTGGCCACTCAGTTTGTACTTTTCCAAGGTGAATGTTGGATGCAGTTTGGGAGCAGAAACCCTGATGGATTTCTGCTGTCCTTAAGCCATGCCCCAGGAAGGCACTGAGACTACCTTTGAGCTTATCCAAGATCAACTAACCCAGCACAAACCCCAGGGCCTGAATGTGGGATCTTCTTGTCTCTGTGACAGTGCAAGATCACGTACTATGTACACCAATGTCTATTAATGATACATCAATGTGTTCACCAACTCAGCAATACTTTTAACTTTGTTCGTTCTTTCTTCCTTGTTCTTATGATTCTGTGCCTAGGTACCTGTACCTAAGATGGCACCTTGTGTGGTGACGTTATACACTTTTCACTGTACTCCTGTACTTTTGTACTTGAATACACGTGACAATAAAATCAAATGAAATCAACAGACTGCAAACAACACAAACGTGTATTAATTCTTGACAGAGAAAGAGAGAGAAGGAAACAAATTTGCTGATAATATAATCTGGTTATTGTATGCACTATTTAGATCTTAATTCACTGGGAGATTGTGTAATAATAAAGACGAAAGATATTTGTGTGTTTCACTCCCAGTTTAGATAAAGACCAGTCAGTGCAGAGTAGGACTTCCAGCTCTATCAATGCACAGGAAATCGAACCTCAGCGAGGGCCCCTTTGCTGCACCAATGGAACAGGTATTGCATTAGTTGCTTTGGGGGCTGTCTGAAGGAGATTAAATCTCCATGGCAGGTACTCAAGGGACTGGGCTGAAAATATCAAACTCAATTCACTCGGGATCCTTATCAGCAACACACAGAAGACACTTCCATTCAATCAGTCCACATTGTATTTGAAGGTTAATGCTCAGGTTTAGATGCATACAAGCTGATTAAAAATGATGATCAAGCAGAATTATATTTCCACCAGAAGCATAACGTGGGAGGAAGTACTGGAGGATAGACATCCTTGAAGGTAGACATATCACCAGGGCCAGATGGATTCCTGCTCAGGAAAGGCAGGAGTTGGAGGTGGAGGGGGAGGTGGTGGAAGAAGTAACAGATATTTAGGATCATTTTCCAATTCTCAATCGATCTAGGTTAAGTACCTATGTTTTGGAGGTCTGTGACGTTATTTTTAAAAGATGTGGGGGATTGGCCAAATAATTATAGGCTGGTCAGTCTGACTTTGGTGATGGGCAAGTTATCAGAATCAATTCTGAGGGACAGGATAAACTCACTTAGAAAGGCACAGGTTAACTGGATATAGTCAGCATGGTTTTATAAAGGGAGGGCCATTGTCTTACTAACTTAAAGGAAATACCAAGAATGATTGGTGAGGATAGTGCAGTGGATGTCTACATGGGTTTTAGGAAAGAATATGACAAGGTCCCACTTGATAGGTTATTTAGAAAAATTAAAGCACATGGGATACAGGGGGATGTGGCAAATCGTCCCCAAAATTGGCTTAGCAACAGAAGAAAGGGTAAGTGTCATCAGATGGGTTCTTGAATAGATAGTGCTTTCCAGTGTGTTTCATGGCGTTCAGTATTGGGTCCCTTGCTGTTCATGATTTGAACTTAAATATGGGAGGAATGATTGGGAAATATACAGATGACACTAAAATAGCCTGGAGTGATAGTTGGTAGTGAAGAGATGGCTGTCAACTAATTGCAAGGTGATATCAATGTTTTCATTGAATGGATGGAAAAGTGTCAGATAGAATTCAATCTAGAAAAATGTGAGGTTATGCATTTGGGGAGATAAATAAAGCAAGGGAACATGCAATAAACGAGAGGGTATTGAGAGGTGTAGAAGAAGTGAGAGACCTTAGAGTGAATGTCCAAAGGTCCCTGAAGATGACAGGGTGGGTAGATAAGGTGTAAAGAATATGGGATGTTTTCCTTCATGGGACCAAGTATGGGACACCATTCAGAGATGTATTGCTGAAACTGTATCAAACACTGGTTAGGCCCCAGCTGCAGTTGTGTGTACAGTTCTGGTCACATTACAGGAAGAACATTGTTGGCCTAGAGAGGGTATAAAGGAGACTGACACTGACGTGAATGTTGGCAGGATTTTAAAATTGCAGGTATGAGGAAAGATTGGATAGTCTCAGGTTATTTTCCTCAGAAAAGAGAAAGCTGAAGGATGATGTAATGGAGGTGACCAAATTAATGAGGGGTCTTGGAGATAGTGGGCAGAAAAGACTTGTTTTCCCTAACAGAGAGATCAATTATTAAGGGGCTTAGACTGAAGATGATTGGTAGAAAGGTTCGATAAGGCGTGGGGAGAACCTCCCTCGCTCAGAGGGCAGGGAGTTTCTGGAATTCCCTTCCCAGTTTGGTGGTTGGGATGAAAACCCTCAACTCATTTAACAAGAACCTTGTCTGCCCCTGCTGTTCTGTAATGTGAAAGGCCATGGTGCTGGAAGGTAGGATTAAAATGGATGACTTCTACTTTTGGCTGGCACAGACACAATATGCTGAATGGCCTCTTTCTGTCCTGTACCTTTTCTATGGCTCTAACATTCTTAATAAAAAACTGTGATTACAGAAAAACACCTCAACCTAACAGGATCTTTCCACTGGAGAATGGGAGTGAGGGAGGGTCTTTGCCTGCCATTTGCTGCAAAACTGTGGGTGAAGACTTGCTTTGTTTAGCACCCACACCCATTTAACATTTTGTAACAACATAGAACATCCCAGACCTACTTCCTTTGACCAAACATCTGGTCACCAGTCAAACACCTTTTTTTTGGCCGTGTTATCTAATTAATACCCCTGAGAGCTGTACAGGCAGACCCTGGGTTGAAATGGATTCTGTTCTTGAGTCTGGTAACAAATCAGTTTGTAAGCACATTGGAAGACAATGCAATGCAATGTAAAATAGTCGTTTGTACATACAAGCATTTGAAAATTGACCATTTGTTAACTGGGGACCCCCCGTGTTGGAATATTTTACCACCTTTAAGGTGGTGATATTGTTGTTAGTTACATCTAAGGCTGTCTGTGTTGTAATGGGGTTACTGTTGAAACACAGTTTCTGAGCTCCCTTCAGTGATTATGAATTCTTTCAATGCTCTCCCTCTCCATCCAGCTCTCAATAACAAAAAAGCAAACACAATATTCACACCGGGAGTTCAAATTCAATCTATCAGCCCAAATGTAAAATCCAGCCTGCATAATCATTCCCGGAATTTCACAGCCAAGAGAATCGTTGAGTTAAAATCACGTGCTCCAATCTGACAACAGTTTT